CGAGCGCGCTACCACTTGAGCCACATCCCCAGCCCCTACTTAAGTCTTTATATCCTCTTTAGAAGACCTCATTTGTTTTTCAGGATTTCTTGCTTATTTGGCATAAGATATCCTGGGCTGACTTTGTCTTTTATCTGCTAAAGCCATTCCACAAGTTCCTTTTAGAGAGGAAAGATATTTAGATCAGGATCTGGATTTTAACTGTGCGCACTGTTGCTGAAATGGTATAATCTTTTTATAATTAGTATTCATTAAAAAATATATAGAATCCTGAGTCATATCCTATAGATAAATAAATGCACAGATTAGATTAATGTATAAGGTTATTGACTACAATATTATTCACTTTAGCAAAAAGTAAATCAACAACTTCAACCAGCAAGGGAATGATTACATAACAGTATCTATAGAATGCAGTTATTAAGGGAAACACCTAGATCTATCTCTAGAAACAGATAATGTCCAGTAGTAAGAAAAGCAAGTTCCAGAGAGGCATTTATAGTGCAATCCTATTTTTATGTAAATAATGACTTCTCTAAAAGCCCCTTTATATGTATGTGTGTGTATATATATAAATATAAATATATATGCATATATCTCTGTACATATGAATCTGTGTGGAGGAGACACACACACATCAAAAGAAAAAGTGAGAGGAAAATAAAGGCAAAGGCAAGGGAGAAGGCTGGGGTAGTGAGTACTTGCTTAGCTTATGCAAGGCCCTGGGTTCATCCCCAGCACCACAAAAGAATAAAACAAAACAAAAACCCTAATGATTAGAAGAAGAGAAATTAATAAAAGGAATAATATTCAGGCAAAACAATTGGGTACACACAAAGTTTCTTGCTCTCATCCTCACACTCGTTCTTAGGGGTTTCTTTTGTATCTTTCCAAAACTATACATAAACATTTAAGATAAATATATACATATATATTTGTTTACAAATTAGGGTCATGCTATACATACTGCTCTGTAGCTTTTCTAAAATGTAATGTATTGGGTTTTCCATACTGCTAAATATATACTACTTCTTGTTATATAACTATAATATTTTGTTTTTTTATACATACAAAACTCTAAAGGATTTTTAAAAAATCTTTAAGTGTCCAAGGAAGAACAAAGATGTTCAAACTGAGTATGATTTACTGCTATAGAGGGATTATTATCTTTTCTATAAGTGTACAAAATTTGTCAATGATAAAAGCAAATCTCATTGATGTATAAATTACTAAGGTAAAACAAATTTTAGTAGAAGACTAATATAAAATATGAAAGTATAAACACATATAATTTTAAAATGGTTAATACTGAATGTGGAGCATCAGTAGGCCTATACAACTTGAGTATTTCCACTACATCTTTAAATATCTTGGTAAAATTTCTCATAYATATTGCATGGCTCTAAAAATTCAATTTGCTACAATAGATATTATGTTATAACATGATAGGTAATGTTATAGAATATATAACATTATAGATAAAATGTTATTTTTTAATATAAAAATAAAAACTCTTGAGGTTTGAAATTAGAGTCCTAGGATAAAATGCCCGTTTCACGATTTACTAGCTATGTTATAAGTCATTTAACTTACTTAAGTTTCAATATCCTCAGCTTTGAGATGACAATAAACACCTGGACTTCATAAAGTTGTCATAAGGATTAAGATATATTATGCAATTATTTGCAGATATTAAGTTCTTAGTAAATGGTAATTATTACTAATAATACATCTACCACCTAGCCAAATACTTGTATGATGCAAAAGAAATACAAAAGATTAATGGTTGGAAGATTAATGGTTACTTAGGGCTTGATGAAATGTAAATGTGGAGACTGAYAGCTAATGGGTATGGAGCTTCTTACTTTTTAAATAAGGTTATTTTTATAGCAGTTTTAGGCTCACAGCAAAGCTAAACATAAAGTACAGAGTTCCCATATATGCCCTTATCTGACACAAACACAGCCTCCCCTACTATCAACATCCCTCCCATCAGAGTGGTACATTTGTTACAAGATATAAATCTTCATTGACACATCATCACCCAAAGTCCACACTTTGCATTAGGGTTCACTCGTGCTGTTTTTCATTGTTATAATTTGGATCTTAAAGGACTCCCAAAGACCCATATTGCTATATAGGTTTGGTTACCAACCTATCATGTTATTAGGGGGTAGAAAACTTTTAGGAGATGGAAAGAAGCTAGGTCAGAAGGAGTATGGTCTTGAAGAAGATATTGGAACCACAGTCTATTCCACTCCCTCTTTGCTTCCTTACCACCATGAGGTGAG